AGAGGCGGTGGGCCATTACAAGGACAAGTTTCACCTACTAAGAGGCAATATGGTATTATGGCTTAGAGCTCATGTTCACCACTCTCTGTCTGTATGAGCTTCCTCACGTGCAAAATGAGGATAGTAGTAATACATATATCATAGAGTTATGAGGAGTAAATAAAATAACAAGCACTTAATAAACGTTAGCAATGACTGCTGCCAGTTTCACCTGGAGCACTATATCACAATGTCATTATGCCTTTGGCATTCCTATCTCCTCTGTTACAATGTAACTTATGGGTAGATAGTGAAGTGGGATAAAGTGCTTTTTTCTCTTATATGTGAGAAAGTGAAGAAGAATCACCAGATATTTTAAGGAAAATATTTAACAAAAGACAAAAAGCAAATTGGAAAAGTAAGTGGCTGGGAGGAATTAGAGAACTTTTTAAAGAAACACACAAACACGCACACACACACACACAAATCTTCCAAGTAAAATCCTTGGAGAGATGAGGAAAGGTATCGCATCCATAAAACGTAAAAAGAATGGTCTAAAAAAGAAACATTAAGAGAACAAGAGAGAAATTTTTAAAATTAAAAATATGGTAGCAGAAATAAATTCAGTAAAAAAAAAAAGTCAAGATGAAGTTGAAGAAATATTTCAGAAACGAACAAAAAGACATTTGGAAAATAGAGGGGGAAGATAAGAAAACTAGAAGACCAATACAGGAAATCCTACATTCAAGTTAAATTCCAGGAAGAAAGTACAGAGATAATAAAGGGGGAATTTCTTTTTCAAAGAAACAGTACAAGAAAATTTCCTGGAACTTACTAAGATAATTTTTCAGACAAGAAGGGCCAACTGAATGCCGAGCACGAAGACTAACAAAAGACTTATACCAAAAGGCATACTCACAGAATTTCAGAAACTTGTGAATAAAGAGAAACCCCAAAACCCTTCCAGAAAGAACAACAGGCCCCATACCAAAAATCAGAATGGCATTGAACTTCTCAAAAATAACACTAGAAGTAAAAGGATAATAGAGCAATGCCTTCACGATTCTAAAGAAAAATCATTTCCAGTCCAGAAGACTACATCCAGATGAACTACTCACGTGTGCAGACAAAATAAAGACATTTTCAGCCATGCAAAATTCTAAAAATTTTATTTCCCTGTACCCTGAAACAGACACTGCTGACTCACCCAACAGCCATCTCCATCTTTCTTTCATGTTCTTTTTTAAGGCATCACATAGCCATGTGCTTCTGGGAAGCCAAGCCTTTCCCCAGCCCCATGGAATAGTCTTGATTCATCTAAGGCAGCAAGTTGTAATTCCCTACCCCCTGCAAATGACTGGCTTAGAAATAGGCATGTAACACAACTGAGATCAATTAAATATCAGGAAAAGTCTATAGGGGTATGGGAAGATTTTCTTCACTTCAAAAAGAAGAAAGGGACTTACTCTTTCAGCCAGCCTTTGTATGTAGTTGTGTGAGGACATGATGATCCAAGTTGCAGCAGTTACTCTATACAGTTATCTTATCAAGGAGGAAATCCAAATATCAAGGATGGCAGAGAAGAAAGATTAAAAAGAACCTGGGTACTTGATGATGTCACTGAGCCATTGCATTCATCAAACCTGAACCTAGGCAATATCCAGACTTCTTGTTATGTGAGTGTCAGAATGCAAACTCTGGGCACTTGAGCTCATCTCTCAAACTGAATTGTATAGTGAAAGCAATAATAATTAATAAAAATGTCTACCATCGATTGAGTACTTAGGTACTGTTCTTTTGATTATTGGCTACAATAAGCCTGTGAAATAAGTATAGAATTATGTCCATTTTGCAAATGAGGACATATAGGCTCAAGCAAGCACATGAATTAGCCAGATTTGTAACCATCCAAGGTTTGAATATTTAACTCTGATTCTATGCTCAGGACATGTGAATGGAGCATGGGAAAATGTTTGGAATATGCTGAGTTCAAACATGTACTTAATAACCAGTTTTTTTTTTTTTTGGCCACAAGTGCAGCATGTGGGATCTTAGTTCCCCGACCACGGATCGAACCCATGCCCCCTGCAGTGGAAGTGCAGAGTCTTAACCACTGGACCACCAGGGAACTCCCATAACCACTTTTAATTCATTAGTTACTTGTCAATGTAGTTCTGATTTGTGGTAAACCAGCCCCCAAGACAGCCATCCTCACTTGCTGGTATTCACATTTTTGTGTAGTCCATTCCCATAATGAATAGGGCTGACCTGTGTAACCAGTAGGATATCCTGACAATGTGTTGCTTCCCAGTCTAGGTCATAAGAAACATCATGGCTTCTGCTTTGCTTTCTCTCGGATTACTCACTCTAGGGGAAGCCAGTTGCCATGTCACACACACTGAAGAAGCCCAATGGAGCGGTCCATGTGCCAAGAAGCCAAAACCTCCTGCCAATATCCATGTGTGTGAGCCATCTTGGAAGTGGATCCTCCAGCCCCAGTCAAATGTCAGATGATTACAACCCTGGCCAACACTTGACTACAACCTCGTGAAAGACCTTGAGCCGGAACCATCCAGCTAAGCCACTCCTGAATTCTTGACCCACAGAAACTGTGAGATAAATGTTTATTGTTTTACAACCTAAATGTCCATCAACAGATTGAAACAGAGCAGGATGTGGTCCTTCCCCCTGTCCTCCGCCTGCCTTTTGTCTGTGAAAAAACTTTAGCCAAAGAATAAGTTTAATCAGA